AGAAGAAGAAGAAGAAAAAGAAGAAGATTACTGCTTATTAGTAACTATTATTCGTTTTTATTTCTGCAAATTTTCTAGTGAAGCTATTCCAAATTGTTGCCATAGTAGGAGTCTAGTAGTAAGCACGAAAAAATCAAACACCATGAGAAGTAATACTAGTCAACTTGTCAATAAAACACAGCCACGAAAGACAAAATTAACGTTTAGTATAAAAATTCTTCATCGGCACAGAAAACATGAACAGCGATACAATTACAGCCAGCACGGTACGGAACGCGGTACGGACCTAGAAAAATATATAATATGATCAAAAACATCAATCAATATTTCCATACTTTCATATAACACTTCACGGCAATCGATCCTGACTGGAAACATGTCCTGCTTGCAAATGTGTGTGTTTTTTTTTTTTTTCGCGAAGGAGACTAATTGCTAACTACAGACGTGTCTTACGTGTCCTGTAGCTATGATTGACGTTAAGTGCGCGGCGGACGGATTTGTAATGTAAATGATGTTAAGATAGCTCGGAGCATCGCTGACGTGTGTATAAACATTGTTCTAGCGTATTTGTTATAGAAGAGATAGCACGAGACCAACGGATCCCCCCCCCCCTTTTGCCCTGTGTGGGTTCCGGGGTATTATTCTACGGAAAATAAGAATAGACCCATGCCTCCCAAAAGCATGTCCTAAAAGTCGACTAACTGGGAGCAGTGTTGCCACTTTTCTTTGACAAAAAACATCCAAAACGGAGTCAAAAATATCTAAACACATCTAAATTTGCGTTGAAAACATCTAGAAAAAACATCCAAATGGAAAGAGTCACAAATTACACAGCAATTGATATGGCTTACCTTAAAGAATCATGTCCTCATCTTTATTGAAGTCTGCCTCACAAGATCACAGTATAAACTTAGCTTGGATGATGAAGTTGGAGCTTCAGATCCAAAATGACTCTGGTATGCTTTAGCTGTTCCATTTTCTTTTAATACCCATCCAGGGAGCTGATAAGTGGAACAGCATTTTCCTACTCTTATCAGACCAAATTTTATTGTCAAGATAGCATTTAAGAGGTGAAATTTCATCCTGTTTCTTAGGTTAGATTTGATCAATTCACTCCAAATAAAACACCTCTAGAAAAACATCTACCATGTAAACGTCAAAAACGCCAACTAAATGCAAGGGAAAACATCTAAATCTGGATGTAAAACACATCCAAAGTGGCAACACTGATCTTGGCCTGCTCCAAGTTAAGGTAACATCAATGTTTGGGGAAAGAATGTTACCGGCGCTGTCTGATCAGAAGAGCAGTTTCCCTGGCCGCCTATCGGAGACTTTTGTGCTTGACCAGCTGCCAACCAAAGCTAAGGTCTCGACCTACTTTCAGATGTGCTAGTATCGAAACAACACATTGTACTAGATTCAGCGAGAAATAGCTGATCAAGGGGTTTAGCCATTTCGTTAGAATGCAGCAACATCAAATACCATCAGAGGCACTACACATCAGAAGATCAGATACAAGATGGCCACAGATAAAAGGATTAACAACGTTAAAGGCACAACGCATTTATGGCATGACAATAACTAACGTGAACTGGTTCGCAAATTATTATTCCACACGACGATTAACGGCAGAAGCGATGATGATGCCTGTAGCCGTGAACATCAAGTGTTCGGAATGCCAAAGAAGAAGAAGAAGAAAAAGATACGATGTTATAGAAGCAGGCTAGAAAATATCATATTACAGACTTAATCAGTTACAAAACGTTACAGAACGTTGCAAACTAATTCAAAAATTTGCCACCAGTTTGCGATTTTGCTAGGCAGGTTTAGATGCTGTGTAATTTCGGGGTGGCAGTTTCGATCGCAGCTGCAGGCGACTTGCCGCCAGATCGCCTTGCTCTGATTTCGACTACTATCGAGAGCCGACCGTTCGTGAAACTCAGCAAACTACTGAACGTAACATTTTCTAGTGAAATCACAATCATTCAAGAAACCAGTCAACAATTCCGCTTTGTTTATCCAAAAGACTCACATGATTAACCTTCGACTTCCGCGATGTTGAGGTAGTTAATCTTGAACTTTCGGTGCTGGGGTGTACAGTGTCACAAGAAACAAAGCAATTAGTATCTTTCCGTGAAAGGATTCATGTTTTGTGCTTTATTATATTTCCAGGCATATATTGCTGTATGTTGTCAGGTGAATTTCATTAACATATAATAGCATGAATAATTCCACTGAAAAAAAAAAAAACACTAATTATTTTAAACTTTATTTTAATTTGATGTAGATTTGATTTGATTTGATTCAAGAACCGACATCACAGCACCCGGTGCATTCCCATAAGCGCTCCGTCCCCATCTTCAGCATCCAGCGAAGAGTTCCGATACTAATTTTGCCAGTAGCATTCTGATTAAACGTCCGTCTTGCCTTTCCTCTGAGCCCCGAGCATCTGCCAGAATCTCTCGTCACTCTCCGCTGCATTAATCTCACCAGACTGTGGTGATCCATCTGCTCCTCCGAACTGTACACGATCTCCCACAAGGCACTAACCACGTCTGCCTCATCATGTATCAGTATTCCACCAAGTTGTGCAGATGTTGATGTAGATTTGACTAAGCTAAACAGCAACCGACTTGATTCCGTGAGATATACCAGACAATACATTATTCAATATACTATCATCATCATCATCATCATCATCAGGGGCCTTGCCGACCGGCGTGGGCGATCATGCCTCTCCATAATCTGTTATCTCCTGCAGCATGTATCAGTTCGTGTGCCGACACACCTCCATGCCATGCAACAAGACTGTCAAGCATCTTCTCTCGTTGTCTTCCTCTATCCCTCCTTCCACAGATCTTTCCAGTGGTCACAACATGTTCTATTTTCCCTCTTCTCATAACATGGCCGAAAAATGATGACTGTCTCCTTCTGATGTCTGTGATAAGTTGTCTTCGGGCTCCCGCCTCTTTCAAAACCTCTTGGTTGCTCTTTTTGGCTGTCCAATGTATTCTAAGCATTCTTCTGTAAAACCACATCTCTGAGGCCTCTAAAAATTGTTTGGCCTGCCTACCGATTGTCCAGGATTCACATCCATATGTTAAAACTGGATGTATGTAGCAAGCAAGAATTCTTTTTCAAACTCTCAATGACAAGGATATATTGCACAAGATGTTTTTCATTTTATAAAATGCATTTTTTGCCTGTCCAATTCTGTTTTTTTTTCTTCAGTTATGCATCTTCCATCTGATGTTATCCATGTGCCCCGATACTTAAATTTCTGTACTTGTCCTAAAATAACACCATTGACTTTTATTACACAATTAAGAATAATTCAATATACTATATATTAAACAAACAGACATTGTATTGATGGACACTCATAGAAAGAAGTAGAAAGATTTAAAGACACTAGAGAACATAACAGTCGAATGCGGTAGTTAGCATGCCGGGAATCGAACCTCTCACTTTAAAATGGCGCGTGAGCCTCGCTATGGAAAAAAAGTGTACTAAGATACATGACCAGCGATACTCTCAAAGAAGGTTTCTTCACTGACTGTCTATCGTACAGATTGAAATCCATAAGTTTGGAATACGGACATAATGCAGCCCTTTCTACTTCTTTCTATGAGTGCCAATCAATATATTGTCTGTTTGGTTCTTATATATACTATTTCTACGGCCTAACGGGTTCATCATCATCATCAGTTCTCGTTATGCCTAGTGGCACACAAGGCTTCAGAGAGGACTTTCCATGCTCTCCTGTCCTGTGCAATCTTCAGTGCAGTTTTCCATGTCAAAGATGCCGCTCAGGTCACTTTCCATCGTTCATCTCCATGTTGTTTTTGGGCGCCCCTGTTGTTCTCTTTCCCTCTGGTGTCCATGTGAGAGCTGTCTTGGCAGGTATATCAGAAGTCATTTTCATAACGCGGCCAAGCCATTTCCATCTTCTCTTGGTAATCATACTGTCTAAAGTTTCTTGGTTAAGCCTTACGGGTTCCCCCTCTGTTAATTAAAAAAAAACATTATTCTATGTATATGTTTTTCTCTCACTGTAAAAGTGTTACGCGATTGTTTAGCTACAGTAGCTTTCTTTATTTCTAGGATAGATATTTAAGTTCCTTTTTTGTGTGTGATTTTTTTTAAGGCATCAACCCTGACAATAACCAGTTTACCCTGATTTTTCTCATAAAGGAAAACTTAAATGTGTACAAACTTCGGGGATTAAAGTTGCCTGTGGTGTGGATTATAGAGAACTGAGTAACGCAAATGAATCTGGATCCATGCAAAAATGGCTAAAACATTTTCAAGAAGATTCCTGGAAAGTTTGTCTGTTAATGGATGTATGGATGATGTCGTAATTCATGGATTACACGCGGCAGGTATGGGTATATAAAACGGCCTACAGCCGTTATGGAATTATATATTCATAACATAAAAATAACAACTGTATCTATATAAGGAAACATACGCTTGGTAATCCAACTCTATCGAAAATTCTGTTTAAGAGGATTACTTGTGATATACGCATATATGCTGTAGCTGTATGCTGATACATATAATCGACAAACTGAACTAAGATGATTCATGAGAGGATTACTTGCGATCAACATTTGTATGTTGTAACTAGACGCTGATGCACAATTTTATACAACTGCTTGAATAATTATTTATGACGTAAATAAGGAAGGTACTATACTACTTAAGGAAACAATTATGTCGGTAAATTCATGGAGTATACGCAAGTGACAGTGTAGTAAATGAAACAAATTTGGGCCATACGAATGATTCGACCTTAGGAGAGTTATAGATGAGTGTGTGTTGTAACTTGTTGCTGACGTGCAGGTTTTCAACATCTACGGATTATTTATTTCTGAACTGAAAACTGGGATTATAATTGGATACATAGATCCAGGGTTTGCATACATCAGATAAGTACTCTTACAACTAAGGTGTAATTAACTTAGTGGTGCTGGGTGGTTGGGTCACGATTGTTGGATATGGAGGACGAGCTTCGTTGCCCCGTGTGCTGTAGAGTGTACACTAAGCCTGTTCTCATGCCCTGCTCCCACTCCTTATGTGTGGCCTGTGCATTGAGCTGCCAAGAACCAGCTCAGAATCTGCTACCCCATTCATTGTCTTCAGCTGGTTCAGAGTCGGACAGCGGAACGGTGATCAGCGATCGTACAAGTCTGTTAGACTTCCCTGACATGGACAAACTGAGTATTGTCAGTGAAACGGACAGCGGCGTCGTCTGCAACAGTCGACCGAGCAGCTACATAGGTACCGCCAGTGTTGCCAACATCTTTCTACAGAGCCTCCAGAATTGCACCTATGGCATCAAATGTGTTGTTTGTGAGAGGATGGTCTTCATGGACGATACTGGCGCCCTGTCTTTACCCACAAACAGAGTCCTGGAAGCTATAGTGCATAAATATCAAAACCCCAGTAAGAAAACGGAGTTGAAGTGTGAACGTTGTCTAATAGACCATCGCCCGGCTACTGCTATGTGCGAGCAGTGTGAGGTTTTCTTCTGTGACATATGCCGGGAGCAGTGTCATCCAGCGACGGGGATGTATGCTAAACACACTCTGGTGGACCCAACCCAAGGAGACATTATCCTCAAGTACAAAAAGAAGAACAGCAAGGAGTTCAAATGTAACGAGCATCCTTCGGAGTCGTTAGGGATGTTTTGTCTGTCCTGCCGGCTACCGGTCTGTTGTCAGTGTGCACAGGATGGACGCCACATGACTCATGAAGTCCAGCCGCTGTCATCTATGTGCAAGTCACAGAAGGTAAGGAGATACGTTGTATCGTTCGTGTTCCATTGTTCTGTTCCTGTTCCATTGTTCTGTTCCTGGTCCATAGTTCTGTTCATGGTCTAGTGTTCTGTTCATGTTCTAGTGTTCTGTTCATGTTCCAGTGTTCTGTTCATGTTCTAGTGTTCGGTTCATGTTCTAGTGTTCTGTTCATGTTCTAGTGTTCTGTTCATGTTCTAGTGTTCTGTTCATGTTCTAGTGTTCGGTTCATGTTCTAGTGTTCTGTTCATGTTCTAGTGTTCTGTTCATGTTCTAGTGTTCTGTTCATGGCCCATTGTTCTGTTTATGGTCTAGTGCTCTGTTCGTGGTCCAGTGTTCTGTTTGTGGTCCAGTGTTCTGTTCGTCGTCCAGTGTTATGTTCATGGTCTAGTGTTCTGTTCGTCGTCCAGTGTTCTTTTCGTCACTAGTGTTCTGTTCATGGTCCAGTGTTCTTTTCGTGACTAGTGTTCTGTTCATGGTCCAGTGTTCTTTTCGTGACTAGTGTTCTGTTCATGGTCCAGTGTTCTTTTCGTGACTAGTGTTCTGTTCATGGTCCAGTGTTCTTTTCGTGACTAGTGTTCTGTTCATCTGTTCTTTTGGTCCAGTGTTCTGTTCATGGTCCAGTGTTCTTTTCGTGACTAGTGTTCTGTTCATGGTCCAGTGTTCTTTTCGTGACTAGTGTTCTGTTCATGGTCCAGTGTTCTTTTCGTGACTAGTGTTCTGTTCATGGTCTCGATGTTTACACGACTGCCGAAAATCTCTTTTTCTTCTACTTAGTTCACCGTCTGTAAGCTCCGGCGAAAAGTCCTGGTTGTTCGTCCATTTGAATTTTGGCTTTGTGCCAGGACCTTAGTTTAGCGTGTATACCTGTTTTACTGGTTTATATATGTGCAGTTGGTTGTTCATGATGTACTCCGACTTCGAAGTAAGCCCCAATTAGTGGACTCCTACGACATGCTTGTTGGGGGAGGGGGCGGGGTCTACTTCTCTCCCCCCCCTCCCCCCTACAATAAAGCCTCGCAAACCACAGGGGAGATTGTTAAAAATAATTTCCACAAAATTTTAGACTGATGTTTGCAACTTATGATAGAAAAAGGCAACGTCTGCGACTGTTATTAACATCTTGAACTGGAAGGGCAATGTTTTGCAAAATCTCGGTAAGACCCTATCTTGTGTTTGTATTTCCAAAGTCTTCATAGCTTACAGTCTCGTCTAAAGCCGTTAAGTTTGACTAAACATTTTGTTTCGTTTTAACATCAGCAGACATTGAAATTATTGCTTTTATAAATACATAAATATACATATTGTATAAGTGTCTAGCAGAGGGGTGAGTAACAATACAAAAATAACTGAATTTTTGTAGTATTAAAAAAAAAAAAAAAGACTCTTCTCCAGAGTCGTAAAATGAAAATCGTCTTCTTCTTCTTCGCGTACACCGACTGTAAACTCTGGCGGAGTGTTCTGGATGTTCGTCCACTTCTGGACTGCAGTCCTGTTTCAGAACCTGAGTGTTGCGTGTGAATTCGTTTGACAGATCTGACTTATTTGTATGCAGACTGTTGGTTTCTTGCCTCTCAGGCAGATGCACCCCGACTTCGAAGGAAGCTCCCAATTAGTCGAATCCTACGACATGCTTTTGGGTAGAAAGTGGGTCTGTCTTGTTTTTCCCTATAATAGGGCACCAGAACCCACACGGGGGAATACAATGAATAGGATGCTAAACATCTATATTTCAGATCAATCGTAACTCGGAGGGTAATATGGTCAAAACCATGTCGGTCGCCTTGATTTTCTGTGTTAAAATCTGGTCCCCATTTTAGGCTGGGACGATCTTTGAGCCAAAGTCAGTTTCTAAAGATAAAATTCCAGTTGATAAGGGTTCAAACACTAGATGTTCAGGCTAGCGGAAGAATGCTAAACCATTCCGCTGCCACAGCTTCCATTTATATACTACCCAAGACCGGCTGGCTAGCTCAGTTGGTTAAAACCCTCTGCGCGGCGACCGGGTGACGAACTCAGTGTGGTCCGTTTTCACTCCCGGGTGTAGGCAGAAAAGCCACTTTTCTCCCAGAGTTATGGTAGATATGGAATAAAGGCCAAAGGATTGTGATATCCATAGTACCGAGCCAAAGGGTTTGCAACTCATGGTTTCTGGATACTTAAAAAAAAAAAATATACTACCCATACTAAAGGAAAATACTTTTGTAATAATTGACTTTATAATTGAATGAGCGAAATTGTCTGTATTGCACGCAAGAAACCACAGGTTCAACCAGTTAATTAGCAGATCTTTTGCATCCAAGTTATCGAGAGTTTTTTTTTAATGCATATTGACTTTCCAATGAACAAATAATGAATTGGGAAGGTGAGGGGGGGGGGGCTGAGCTACACAACAAGGGAGCGATCAACCACAGGTCCTTTAATAGTTAATAGCCATTAGGTTCATATTTCATAATGGGTGTGAAATGCTTAGTGGGCACCTTACGCCAGCCTGCACTTTGGGGATATCGATTTTCTTCAGCCTAAGTGACCAGTTGGTGGCAACTCCTCCTGGGCGATGGCCTCAGTGTTTCAGAAGTTTATGAGACTCATTTGACCTTAAGATGCCAACCAACAGGAACCTTTAAGTTCTGAGTCATAAGCTTAAGCGCCTTATGGACCACGATCTCTACTCTCAGCCCTCTACCCTCTTGTTCTTCAACATCTGGCTCACTGAGCGGTGTCAGTCCTTGAACATTCCGACAAAAATATTGCCCAATCCTGTAGCTGCTGTATAATCTCCAATATCATGGAAAGATATAAAACATAACGAAAAGTAGATCAGCGAGCTTCACAATATAATAAACACATTGAAAATTGAACGTTGCGACTACAGAGCCTTTATCAGCACATACATAAAACAAACAAAACCACACGAATACACAAAATCACTTATCTGACTATCCCGAAGCAGCCACGTTGTCTTGCCTGTAAAATCACCCATAGTGAAATTTCACATATTGTCTCCAAAGAAGTTATAATTAGGACACCCTTAATGGCTACCTTGGCCAGATGAAACGTGCAGTCCGGTGCCGGTAAGAGCGACATGGTAGATTCTGTTATACAACTTTATTCTCTTTATAGTAGATCAGCAGCATCGTTTTAATACAAGTGCCGTGCTGCTACTTAAATCATCATTACCGCTCCTTTGTCGTTAGATGTAACATAAGGCTCGCATTCGATTCATCCACTCCACTCTGTTGCATGCAATGCCAAATACAACAACAAATATGACTAGAAAGCTCAATGGAGGGAACGGAAAAGACGCACATAAACACGACTGAAAGTTTCGACCACAGTCTTCATTACCGGAGTACAAAATAACAACACACACTGTTACTAGCAAACTCAGCGGGCCAGACAATAGAGCTAATAAAAAATCAAGGTCAGGGTCATCTGTTGCATGCAATTCTCGCGATTTCTGGCACGGAGTTCAGCACAGCCTTTTTATCTTCTCCCTAATAATGGTTCTTCTTAACGTTTCCTTTGGATGTTCTTGTTTATCTTATTACAGTCGATATTGGTATTTGTCCAGACATTTCTGTGACCTCACGTTTTTTAAAATTCATCCCATTTTATGTTGTTGATTTGTCTCTAGCATTTATTTTCAAATGCAATTAACTTTTGATCCATATCTTGGAAATTAACTAATTTTTTAAATGTTTTTTTTTAGTATTTGTCTCTGGCATTTATTTTCAAATGCATTCAACTTTAACTTTCTGTAAAATTCGTTCTCAGATTGATATATTTTACAGTGCTTCATAGTTCTTTTCTCCGTGTATATTTTCTTCCATCACCACTTTCCGCTCTCCGTACAGTTCCTCATGTGTATCTTCGTGTAAACCCAAGTTCTATAGAATATACAGCTGGTGTTTTGGGTCCCACATCTTCTCTCGTGATTTTGACGTAGTACCTCTGTAAACTTGAGGATCAGAAATGTAAAATAAAAGGCCAACGCTGAAATGACAAGTCATCGTTACTGTTTATAAGTGTTTCTAGTTATTTTGCTTTTGTACTTCTTCTTATGTTCCTTATCGTTCTCCACCTGTGTCCCTGGCATCGTTATCTCTTCCCTCTGTTTCATCATGATCGTCATCGTCACGGTCATCATTTGTTCAGTTGCTTCTTCACGTCGTCCATCGTCTTTTCTTTTCTCCCTTCCTCCTAACCTCCCATAAATATATCACCTGCCTGTACAGACAGACGTCTTCTTTATTTATTTACAACTTCCTGCCAATAATCATTATTCTGTATAACTGTATGCAGATCGTTTATCTTTGTTTTATTTTCTCTCTGCAAATGCATTTTATCCAATACTAAAAAAAAAAAAAAATGCATTAACGATTAATGCTAAGTGTTAAGTTTTTTGTTTTTAAATATTGCCTGCCCTATTAAAGATGTTAATTTTCGTCATTACTTTAAAATTAACATAGCATGTTGACGTTATCTTTTTAAACTGTGTACGATTTCTTTTCCTCTCCCCTGGTGAAACTGATTGCGAAATATGTATAGAGTATATGTACTGTTCATTTACAGATATTTTATCTCTAAATTGTCTCCCTCCCACCTCCGCCTCTCACTCTCTCTCTTTCTTTGTCTCTCTCCCTCTCTCCAACTCTCTTCTTCTCCCCCCCCCTCCCGCCTCTCTCCTTTTTACTGAACTCACGTTCTATACTTTTTCGTGGTGTCTCTCCCCTTCAGTCACTAATGGTTTCTCTCTGTCAGTCATTTTTGAGTCCTTTTCAGTCACCAACTCTCCCATTCTTTCCCCCTCTACTTCTTTCTCTCTACTACCATCTCTCTCTCTCTCCCTAACTCTCCTTTCTCCATGCCTTCTCTGCCTCTTTTAGAAACTCATTCTGTCCTCTCTCTGTCTCTCTATCTCTCTCTCTCTCTCACTCACATTTTCTATCTCTGTTTCCTCCGGGGACCCAACTTTGTATTGGCACCCATTTCCT